CTCTTCGTTTATTTTTTGGCCAACAATAGAAACCCCTGCGATTATTCGAGCTTTCTTACAGATAAACATCGGTTTCGACCTAAAGATATCCATTATATTAAAGTACCTTTCTCTTTTCCTTTCGTTCCTTCATAAATATAAATCTAATTCGTTAGGAAGAACAAGGATATTTATTTTGAGTATATACCTCGCGAAATTTTGTTAAACGAGAGGACGGAGGAACGAGGAGACATTGGTGTACTTTTAAAAAGGACTGTAGACAAAACGAGGAGTTGCCGGTGGCTCGCACAAAGAATTGACAGCGGCAAACAGTTTAGTGTCCCGTACGTTTATTGTATCTCGACTACCGTGCGTTTAACTGGCATGGCTAAGGTGGGCGCGCGAGGGAGAAAAAGGGAAAGGAGGAGGCTCGAAAGACGAAGGACCGGGACAGATCTGTTAGCCCGTTAGACTCGGAGGACTCTTCGCCGTTGACGTTTGAATGCTCTTTCTTCGAGGAGTAAAGGAGAGCGAAGGAGAGGGGACGAAATTCCCTCCGTTCTTTCTTTAGTCCACCACGGTCCTCGAATATCTTCCTTCGCCTTCTTCGTCTTTTAATATTTATCGGATTATTTAACGTGGAACAGAAAGAAATCTTAGATAGTAATAGAAATTAGGATTTTTTGTTAGAGCTAACTCGCGTCGATGAAACAAAGTAAAAGATTAGACCGTGTTTGTTCGCATTGAAGAAGTGTCCATTGAAAGCGGAGAGTTCCATTGAAATCGACGGACGTCTCGGTGACGCCAAGGAGGATCTATTACGCAGGAATCGGCGCATCGCGCGCGATAAATCGACGTGCTCGAGCAAACAAATCACCGCGGGAGAGGGATCGATACGATCGCCGATCGGGCTCCCTCTGCTTCTTTTCTCTCTCTCTCTCTCTCTCTCTCTCTCTCGCTCTCCTTCCTCGCCTCCGCGGGTTCTCCGGACGACGCGCGACATAATTCCTAGGCTGGCCGTGCACGAGGATTCCCGATCGCAAATTGCGGCCGCCTTACATAATACGTTCGATTGATTAATCGGCTCGTGATTTACGGGGGATTTCTTGGTGCGCAGGCGCGCCCGCATACGGAGTCGATCGGATTCCATAAATCAGGAGATCCCAATGGACCAAGAAGATATTATCCTCTGACGACGACGACTGCGACGATATTTCGAGATAAAAACTTGGATATTTTACATTTAATTTTTTTTTTTTTTTTTTTTTTTTTTTTTTTCCTTTTTTCTTTCGTCGAAGAGCTCGCGAATTAGCGCTCGGCAAACGGATCGCTTTGTTTCGAGAGCGCGTTCTCTCTTTCTCTCGGATGGAACGCGCATTCCTCGTTCCTTCTCCTTTAGCCTCTCGTTCGAAGAGGTAACGCATCGATAAAGGATGCACCGCGGATATTTATGCATATGTCAGCGCGTGCTTATTGCGATACACAGAACGCCGAGGTAATCGCCGTGGATAACATCCAAGTTAGCGGCGAGTAGTCGCGAGTCGTCGCTATAATTTCTTTTCCGCCATAAATGGCGAGCGCGATCGTCGAGAAGATCGGCCGGCTAGCTACAAGGACGACCAAACCTTCTGACGTCTCTCGCTCGAAAGAACGATCGTAGATTTTCTTAGGGAACCTCGATAAAATGTTTCCTTCTCTCTCTCTCTCTCTCTCTCTCTCTCTCTCTCTCTCTCTACTTCTCCGCCTTCTGTTTCTACCACTTTTTTTCTTCTTTGCTTCTTCTTCTTCTTCATCTTCTCCTTCTTTCTCTTCTTTTTGTTCGAAGCAAAAACGACAAACACAGAATACAGTATTGGAAAGGATTTAGAAATATGTGTCTATTCCAACGTCCGTTCCGTCTTTATATATGTAGCTGTTTATATTTTAACATTATCAAACTTGTTTTGTCTTTCGAATTTATTCCTATAGCTCGGGGTTCACGGGGTTATTTTTCCGCGTGTAGCAAGGTAGAATGCATGATTTTATAAAAAACAAAACAACAAAAAAAAAAAAAATAAGAAAAAGAAAAGGAGATGAGAAGACTCGCAATTAAACACGGCGTAACTCTCGCTCGGAGGATAATGCCCCGGAATGTTGATAATTGGCCAAGCCGTCGGAACGAGTCGGAGGAAGGAGGAAGAAGAAGGGGCCGAAGATAGGGAGGCAGGAGGAACAGAGAGAACCCGCACCTGGCATAGAAAGAGAGAAAGAGAGAGAGAGAAAGGCAATGCAAGATCATCGGCTCGCGATCCCTAGTGTCTAATTGATTCGAAGTGATTTATATTACCCGCTGCTCCTCTACACCTCGAGCATTCTCCGGGCTCTTTCCTTCTTCTTTTCTGTTCGAACCGTTCGCGAAGCGTAAGGAAGAGTAGGGATCCAGAGGAACAACGAGAAGAACGAGACGGACGTGCGTGTCGTGCGATCGACCGAACGGAAAAATCTCGATGGAACGAAACGACTTTCTTACGTTCTCGTGTATGGAACTCGCGCTCTTCCTTCGAGATGTTATGATAATTCAGGCATGTTCCTCCGGAATGGATGCTTCCCTCCTCTCTGATCATCGGCTTTTAGCTTTTCGACGATCGTAGGATAGGCCGAAAGGTGCACGAAGTGTTAATTCTTTTAAATTCCACCATCAAACTTTTTCTTTTCGTTAATTCGTCGACTTGCGAGTTTATCGAGGTGGGAGAGAGAAGGGAAAAATCGAGAAAAGAATTTCGTAAATGATCGAGAAATCGTGCAAACGGGAGGTCGCAAGGAGAGAGAACGGTTGCTTCCGTCATGTTAAAAGGCCGACGTGCTTGGGGATCGAGGTAGTCGAGAAGGAGTCGAGAGTGGAAGGTGGAGGAGGAGGAGGAGAAAAGAGCGAGCGGGCCTTTCGCTCTCGAACCTCGATATCAGATCGCTCGTATAAAACTATCGTATCGTTTAAATACGCACTGAAAGGTGAGGCGATGCATCAGAAGATACGCGGGCGGTGGCAGCTTCCTTCGGCCTACGTCTTCGCTTCGTTCGCCCGTCCATCCGTCCGTCCGTCCGTTCGTCCGCCCGTCCGTCCGTCCGTCCGTTCGTTCGTCCGTCCATCCGTCGATCCGCGCCGAAGATACCCGCCTGGAATCCATGGGAACCACGAAGAATCAGGCTTAACGCGTACGACTCTCCTTCTTGTCCCCTCTCTCCCTCTTCGCTTCCTCTGTTGGCCCGTTTTTCTCTCTCTCTCTCTCTCTCTCTCTCTCTCGTACGAGGACGAGCACACATACGGTCAAGATAGAGCTCGTAGTATACGTCAGACCGATATCTCTTCGAACTCGAGCCCGCGGCCGATCATCCTCTCGTCACTTGAATTGACGATCGACGCTCGAGCTTCTGGACACACCTACGCGCGGAACAATCCTCGTCGAGATCGTTATCGACGTTCCCTCGATCCACGCCGCGAGATTTTGCTCCTCGCTCTTGCGTGAGAATCCTCGAGTAATGGTCGTGCGAGACGAGATCGATGAAAAGGGCAAGGGTATAGAGTTCTTTGCTGCGTGCCTTTTTACCACCGAGCAAGTCGGGAAAGAAAGAAGTGAGATAGAAAAGGGATCGACGCGGATCCATAAAAAGGTAGAAAAAAGGGAGTGGGCGTCGCGGAGATTCGCAAAAGCCCGGATGCTTATTGCTGTTATTCCTATAGGAAGAAACAGAGAGAGAGAGAGAGAGAGAGAGAGACAATGGGTAAGAAAAGGTTGGGAAGAGAACGGCGTCCCAACGAACGCCCACCGGTGGAGGCAAATGCGATCTGGGCCATTTAAAAAGGGGTGCAACTACTAGGAGCGCTCGCATTGTTCGCTTAATGATGGAGTGGAGACGTGACAGGTGAAACGGAATAGGATATTTCGTTAGGAGAGGACGCTCGTTCGTTCTCTGGTCCGTTCGCGTGGGAGCCGAGCGACTATCGCTCCCGAGACCTTCTTCGACATTGAACCTACCTCCGTGGCGAGCCACCCGCGTCACAGAACCACCTGAGAAATCGGCAACTCGATATCCAAATTCCCTGCGCACTCTGCTGGAAAGCTTCGAGGTCGAAGCGCCTCCGATTTGGGCACCCTTTATCGATCTGCCGCCGTAATTAGTCCTATCGCGCGCGCGCGCGCGAAAGAACCATCCTCGGATACTCCGAGAGAGTATCCAGACATTCCGAGAATTTTTGCCGATTCGCCGAAGTTTCCTTCTTCCCATTCGTTTCGTCCCTTCTCCTTCCAAGGAAATCCTAATTGGCCGAATATTCGTTAAAGGATTAGAAAATTCGGTCTGACGAGTAACGTGTCGTAAGACACGTACGCGTACCTACTACTGCATGTACTTTGCCATTTCTCTACGTAGAAGTAAGAAATATCGTTTCTCTCGATCTACGAGAGCCGTTTGTCCGGCATATTTCAAAGTTGGAAAGCGAGCTAATTAATCGATTCACCCCGCGAGATCGACCAAGGGAGAACAAACTTAAGCGGGGTAGCGAATCTTTTCGTATGTGCTTCTCGAAGAACGACGCGTAATCCGATTTGTTTCTTGACCGATCCAAGATTCCGCGATCTTCTCCTCCTTCAACCTGTTTCTTCCGCTTGCAAGGAGCTCTCTTCTTGCTTCTCGAGCCCCCGTCCTCTTTTACTTTTATCTCACGGCATTCTCTTCGATCCCTCCTTGAGTATTCGCGCAGCCTTCTGACCGTTTTTTAAAGCTTCTTCGTCGCACGCACGCAGAGACACGCATTCACGCATGCACGCACGCACGCACGCACGCACGCACAGACGCACGCACAGACGCACGCACGCACGCACAGACGCACGCACGCACGCACGCATGCATGCATGCAGGGACACGCACGCATGCAGGGACACGCGTCTCTTCTTTCCGCTTCGATCAGTGATTTACGTCGAGGATTTCGCTCCCTTAACAAGAGTCCATTAATTGATTCTGGATTCCCCCCTCGATGCTTTCAGATACCAGGGAGACTGGCTTCGTGAACGCCATCACCGCCGCTGGAGTTACTTATGCGGTTACCAGGGCCTGTACCATGGGTGACCTTGTGGAATGTTCATGCGATAAGATGACGACGAAGGGTAAAAGCTTGTCCCACAGATAAAATTCCCTCCTCCTCTCCTTATTCCCCGGTAAGGCGATTTATATTTCCTCGCGGGCTAAGCGCGCCCTCATGGTTCGATGCTTGCGCCTTCCCTCATTAGAGTTCTCTTCTGGGCTCGATCGAAACGTATCTTTCCTCGATTATCTCTTCTCGAATTTGTAGGTATAGCTAGTTTATCGAGATCGCAGCTCGAGCTCAGAAACGTTTCAGGCAATCGACTGGGCAAACTCGCGCTGACGGCGGACGTAAAGAAGAACCTTCTTACCGAGGGCGAATGGGAATGGGGCGGATGCGGGGACAACGTTAATTTTGGCTTTCGAAAGTCGAAGGATTTCATGGACGCACCGTATAGAAAACGTAGCGACATCAAGACTCTGGTGAAGCTTCACAACAATGCCGCGGGACGTTTGGTAAGTGGACAGGGAGAATGGGCATGGGAAGGGCGGGTGGGGGGTAAAGGACGTTTGACTGGACGTTGGAGGATGGACGTTTGACGGGGGACATTTGACGGCCACGTTTGACGAGGCGTTTGACGGCACACAGGCGGTGAGGAATTTCATGACGATCGAGTGCAAGTGCCACGGGCTGTCGGGCTCGTGCAGCGTGCGCACCTGCTGGCGAAAGATGCCGTCCTTTCGCGAGGTCGGCGATCGTCTGAAGGAGTCGTTCGACGGGGCGGCGAAGGTGATACCGAGCAACGACGGGCACAGCTTCATCACCGAGGGTCCGACCATCAAGCCACCCGGTAGATTCGATCTGATTTATAGCGAGGACTCGCCGGATTTTTGCAAGCCGAATCGGAAGACCGGATCTCTCGGTACTGTCGGCCGGCGATGCAATTCCTCCAGTCCTGGCGTCGAAGGTTGCGAGCTACTCTGTTGCGGCAGGGGCTACGACACGAGGATAGTCAAGGAGAAGGTCAATTGTCAGTGCAGGTTCAGATATTGTTGCGAGGTCACTTGCGAGACCTGTCTCGTAAAGACCACCGTCAACACTTGTCGTTGACCCTTTTTTATACTCTTATAACGTTTTTACTCTTTTATTTTGCAAAAGTTTCGAGAACGTGCGCGCACCCCCTATATTTATACGCTCGATATTAATGTAAATGATATTAAAAGAGGCGCGTTGCGAGCGACGCGTTGACTCGCGCTTCGTCTCATGTACCGATCGATTAACGTCCCCGTTTTATATCCAAGCGTCTTGTGATTTATATTTTATCTTAGTACATACCATTTAAGTATAGAAAAGTATTCAAGTACCGATGCCTATTCGATAAAACGTTAACGAGATGTAAATAGTAGCAAGGTTCTCACGGTCTCCTTAAGGATTAATTCTTAAGTATAATCGACGTTTCTCCTTGGTACCGTTGCAATTATTTTTAACAACATCGCCTTGCGATTAGTTTTATTATCGACGTAGACGGGAAGGTAACGTTCATTCTTTTTAGCTTACCATTAGCGTTAATGAAAGAGGTCGTTAATTTTTTCACTTAAAGCTTTCCGCGTATCTCCAGCGTTTCTTTTCCATAGGTATATGCTTACACTTACTCGACTCACTCGAGTTGCATATACCTACACGCACACACGCACACACGCACGCACGCACGCACGCACGCACGCACGCACGCACACACACACACACACACACACACACACACACACACACATATGTATGTATGAATGCACACTTTTTCTCCTCTCTAAATATATTATCACCTTGAGTTTAATATTTTGCTGAAATAATATAAGGACACTTATCCGTTTCAACCTTTATCAGTCGATTTACCTTTCTCCTTCTCGATCGCCGAGCGAAATAGATGGAGTCAATTTCTTTATCGCTCTTATCTCTTTTACTCTTGTACATAAGACTGATACAGTTCATGCATAACAGATTACGTTCACGCGCTTACGTAGTCGCTAATGTGACTCGTCGGCTATCAGCTATTACATGCGATACAAGAAGCGATAGGTAAAGTTTTTTTCTTTTTTCTTCCTCTTTAACTGGTGTACCGCGCATATCAACACGATTGGACGAAGCGTAGATTAAAATACAGACGCATAGTTAAACTTTGATTTCGAATTTCAGACTTTATCCTGTTTTCCAACGAAACCATTCCATTGTCCATTTTTCGATAGTAAAGGTAAGTAAAATTTATTCAATTTCTAACGACGACTTATCTAATTAAATAACAATTTGCCTCTCAGATTTATTTTCCAGAATAAAGTGCTAATAGATTCGAAGAATAAATTAATAAAACGCACCGAATCGGAACGTAAAACAGAGCCCGTATGTTTTCGTCGACGTGTAGAACACGGGCTTTTAGGTGTAATTTAATTTTACGTACGAAAAGAAGTCGCAAAGGGGCAATAAAGAATTTCTGTCTAACATCTCCTATAAAATAGTTTTACTCGGAGCGAAAGAAGCGAGTCGATGGAGAGCGAGTGCGAGAGCGCGTGCGAGAGAGAAGAGGAGAGAACGAGAAAGGGAAGGAGGGGGCTGGGGCGGAGAAGATGGAATTTGGCGTAGCCATAAAGTCACGAGATATTCGAAACTCCCGTCGTATCGCAGCGTGCGTACTCTTGCAACCTTTCGAAGATAGCGGAAGCTGTAAAATGGCCAAAGGGATGATCTTTACAATCTGTTTACTTTTCTTCGTCTTCTTTTTGAAACGTTTCGACGATCCGATTAACGGACGTTTATTAGGCGCGAAAATTAGCGAGATTAAAAGCCGAACGCCGCGCCCGCTTTAAAAGCACCTCCGCTATTTATCTTGGTGCAGACGTTGGTACTCCTACGGAGGATACACGAAAGATGTAATACGAAGAGGGAGATGGCGGAGATAAGAGGGTACGGTATCGACGGTAAGAGTAATTTGAAAAATATCTCGCGGCAAGAGTGGACGGCGAGTAGACGGCGAGGAAAGATTCGTATCGAAGAAAAAAGTGCGTTGGCACCGGTCAATTTAATACGTGACGCGGTGCGGCACAGGGCGAAATGCACTTGCGTAAAAGTTTCTTAATAGAGAGGTCGACCTCTCGAAGGTACGAAGGTGGTGAGCCGCAATTAGCCCCACCACCGTGTCGAAGCGAGCGTCCGAAGCTCGATTAGTCCATGCTCGGGAGATTGGTCTGGCACTACTCGACTGGGTGGTCCAACCGGGCTAATTTTCGGCTGCCGTCGTGTGGTTCTCCTTCGTTGGAACGTTCAAGAGGAACCTCGTCGAAGGAGGAACGTTTAGGAGGAATCCTCACGGAAGAAGATGGCCACGTCGAAAGGAGTCTCGCTCTTGGTACCAAGGTACACCCGTGTCGCCATTTCTCCTTCTCCCCGTTTTCTCCCTCTCTCTCTCTCTCTCTCTCTCTCTCTCTCTGCCTCTCTCTGCCTCTCTCTGCCTTTCTCGCTCCCAGAGATCCTCGAGGTCCTCGGAGTCGTGCGCGCGCGCGAGACGACGCGCTCGAGAGATGGAGCGACGCCGGAGGTGGTCGCTCGTTGGAACCAAGCGCGCTCGCTCGGACGCCAATATTAATTAAACGATCCCATAAGCGCCTAACAAACTGGCCGTACATTAGAGGCTTTATTGGCCTCCCCGAACAGGACGTTAAAATGTTCCAATCTTAATTAGGTAGGTGTTTACAGGAGGATAATTCCACGGGGCCGAAGCTGCCGAGTAGCAGCGTTTCAGTCGCAACGCAACTCTCTCGACATCTTCTAGACTGTCCGAATCTCTTCTTTTTCCTCTCCTCGTAAATTTTGCGCGTTCGAAGCAGGCAGAAGCCGATAACTCGATAGAAGGATCGATTTTTTCGATCGATAGGCAAAAGAAGCCGCGCTAATTGGGAGAAAAATTGAGCCGCCTTTCTTTCGAAATTGCAGGTAGCGGCTACGCCACTGGCGAAGCTAGCTGGAGAAGGTCGTTGAAATCTTTACGGTTCTTCCAACTTCTTGGAATTTCGTCGCCACCGATATACTCGACTTGCGTAATTACCCCGCTCTCCTTCGACGTCCTCCTCTCGTTCCTCCTCTCGTTCGGTTGACCAACGGGAAGGAAGAAGAGGAGGAACGAAATTACGGACGTGTCGGTGCTCTCGCGTCGGTTCGGAGCGAAGTAATTTTCGTTTACTATGCGAGCCGATAAGGGTTCCACCGTGGACGCACGCAAATTAACCCTTTAAGCTCCCGACTTATGACAGTAGCGGAGAATTTACACGCAAGCAACCCAACTCGGAGAATGCGAGATGCACTTTTTCGCGTTGGTTGCGTACGAGACGATTGAGAGAGAGGAGAGATTCGAAATCGAGAGAGAGAGAGAGAGAGAGAGAGAGAGAGACGAATCCGAAAGAGGGTTCGGCGCAGGACGATAAATATCTTTGCGCGTTTGCGTTGCACCGCGCACGACATTGTGGGCAATGCTCGTAAACCGGCATGTTGCTGCACCTTTCTCTCTCTCTCTCTCTCTCTCTCCTCTTCCACAGACCCCTGCCGAATTATAGGCGAGCCCGACCATGGCACCGACAACTTCATCCGCGGGGCGTCTCTGATTTATCCTTATTAATAAAACTTTAAAGTCCTGTTAACATGTGCCAACGCGAGTCGGGGACGAGCCGAGGACGAGCACGAGGACGAACCCTGGAACGAGCGGTGTCCGATTTCGAAGGGTGGGCGCGTGCGAGGAGAGAGAGAGAGATAGACGGCAAGAGAAAGAAAATAAGGCAGCCTCCCGCTCGACACCCATGCGCATCAAGAGGCTATAGCGATTTTGGGAGGCACGAGGGAGTCGCTCGCAGCGGGGTGCTCGCGATACCTTTTGCGGACTCGAGACATATCGAACATTATTAAAAGTACATAAACACCACGAGGTAAAAGCCGAGTTATGGCCTCGAGGGCTTGCTTGTGAATTAAAGAGATTACCGACGACGAAACGACCAAAGAGGAGAGCCGAAGATAAAGAGAGTCATCGAAGATGTTACCATGTTTCGCGCATATGTCTCTCTTTTCTTCTTCCTCGTAATTTTCTGAGAGAAAGTAGACGTTTTCTTGACCGATCGAAGAACTCGATTCCATATCGAGTTCTCCAATCCCAAAGCCTACACGAGCTCGTGCTGACGCAAAAAAAGCGACGGTATTAATCTCGTTGTTCTCCTGGCTCTTGTTCGAGTCGGCTCGTCGAGGGAGCCTCCTCGAGGACGGCCAGGGAGGTCGCCGCGTATGAAAATCCAACAAAAGGAAGACCAGACCGCAGCGTTGTCTCGCACTTGTCCCCTTGTCTTCTCGTTCGTGTCGGCCGTCCACCCACGATCTCGGGAATATGGATGCGAGCATTTAGCCGGCAGGACACGCTCCTCTCCCGGCCGACTAGGTACGTCGCTTTTACATGCGTGTCCACGATAACGCGACACGCCAACGACACGCTTACCTCCTAAGTACGAGGCTACGGGACGATTCGAGCACCACCCACGTCGTAGATCGCTCCATATATTTATACATATATATACACATATATATATATATATATATATATATATATAGATAGATAGATAGATAGATAGATATACGTGTGTCTATGTGTATAAGGAATAATAATTGTCATTCTTTTATTCGGACGCGCTCGCAAGTCGCGTGTCTTTGTCGTGCTGTGCTCTGCCAGTTCAGGTGGCAGGGATGAGTCGCGTGTCGCGATCGGCCGTTAACGCGTCATTAACGATTTATTGCTACTCCGTGAGGATAGTTAAACGAGTTTTTCCCGTTTCTTTTTTTTTCCTTTTTCCTTTTTCTTTTTTTTCTTTCTCTTCAAAGCGCTTTAATAGTTCATTCATCGACGACGCGTCGTATGTATTATGAAGTTTATGCGTAATAAAGCATCGCTACAGTATCCTTGCGAAAACTGAAAGCAGGACCGTCGAACTTTTCCTAAAGAAAAAAAAGGTGAAAAGGTAATAGCTATGGTGTTGGCTCGAACGATGGAAGAGCATTAAATTATCGTTATTGATTCGTAATTATCGGGAAATAACTCAATAAAGGGCCTGTGGATTACGGTGCGGCCCATCAATAAAATATCAATTTCGATAATAGCCGTCTCGCTTGGTCGAGCACCGCTGCACGAACGAGAGGTAGAGAGAGAGAGAGAGAGAGAGAGAGAGAGAGAGAGAGAGAGAGAGGATAAAGAGAAGGGAACGGAAAGGGCCAGAGCCAAAGGGCGATTTTGACGCCTCTCTTTCGCGGCGGCCTTGCCGCGTAATTACGAATCTCGCGGAACGCGGCGGTGGGTCCGAACAGGGCCTAAAGCTCTCTTTCCCTTTCCTTTCCTCCGTTCCCTTTAGCTCTCCTCGAATCTTTTCTACGTTCGTCCTGTGGATTTTACGTAAGTCTCGTGGTAGCGATATCCGGTGACTGGACGAATCTGACTGGTCGATGAGAGGGATAAAAAATTGCTTGTACTCCTTCCTTCCTGGGTCTTCTACTCGAACGCTCTCCTCGAGATCGTCCTCTTTTGTTAGGCAAACGTCGGCGACCACCGACAATGCTCCCGCGATCGAGCGATTCGAATCGAGTCGTACTTCTCTCGTCGATTAGCTTTCGATCGAAGACGATTTCGTTGCTAACGAAGCGGAATGAAAG